GGTTCACGATGCCCAAAAAATATGTAGGAAAGAATTATTCCCCTTTTAATGATCTAAATAAATGTCCACGATACTATATGTCTATCTTTTAAGATTACCTTGCAAAAACGACGGGACGCGACCGACGTTGTGGATATGCAAAAACATAATTGAATGGCTAAAATAACTATTCTGCGCAGACGAAGTCACAGACACAGCTAGTATATACTAATATTATAAAGCTGAATAGTTTGTTTAAAGGCAAAAGAAAGAACTTTTGGAGACTATCGGTGCGCATAAAAAAATAATTTGCCTTGAATAGACTATTTATGGAGGAAGACAGTATAACATCACACTGCTATCACTAGGATCGAAAAAATGGTGGAAAATGTGGAAAACGACGGGGAAATTGGTATTTCAAGAATTCTTTTGCATGCGCTGCGACAGCGGTTTGAAAATCCCAAAATTTGATTGTTTTGCGAGAACCATTTTTGTAATCAAACGGTGAATGTAATTCCCGCATGCCTACACACAGAATATATTTTCTTTTGAAATAAAGCCATGTCAAATACTTTGTGAAATACTTTTTACTATTTTAGCGTCAAAAATTCGTTTTTCATTTTCGTTTCATACATTTTTCAGCCATGGCGAATATAAAAGTATATATGGTATGTACGTCACGAATAATATTCGCTAATCCAACATCGGACGTGACATTGTGGATCGGGTGTCAAATACATAGAGCAGCTAAAAATAGAGATTTTAAAAATATGCGTACAACCCACGCTGTTTATTAATAAAATAAAAAGTACGTTTTACAAAGAAACACTTGTACTTATTTCTAAGTCATATATCTCGGTTGGTTTTGAAGTTACAATAATATAATATTAAACTTTATCCCTACAAAATCAATAGCTTTCAAAAGCTCCTTAAGTCCCACTCAATACAATTTTGCATAATCGCATTATATTGTACATTTATATAAACACGGAGATGAAAGCTTTCGCGAAAGTGTGGGTCGTACTTTATTTCCTCTCGGCCTTTTCTGGTATTACATTCATAGTAATGAATAAATTAAAATTAGAATTAGCCAATTTTAATTTTTACTTATGTCTGCAATAAATGTCGAATAAAGATATGATAATATTCGGCCATTAAAAATTTTAACATCATCATAAAACTTAATCTTGTGTTGCTTTCTAAAGTCGAAAGTTCGATGCCTTGTACATTAAAGTATTTATAAACATAGAGAGAAAACCGGTTTCTTTGTAAACGTGGCTGATTGAAGTTTATTATGGAACTTGTTCAAAAGCTGATTGTTATAGAAATCGGTAAATTCTCTTTTAGGTGGTAGTTTTGGATTACTTGTTAAAAATACATTGTCTCTGTATTTTATTACTCTATGCAAGTATCACTTTAACCGTGTAACCGTTGTCACAGTTTGTCAATATGGCAGCGGATGGACGTACTGTGTCTATTAATATAGAGAGAATCGTATCACTGAAATGGGATGAGTATTTGGTACAGCGATGCTTTTATTTGGGCACTAGCTGTGTCCGCGACTTTGTCCGCGTGGAATAGTTATTTGCAAACACGCTCTTCAGCTTTATAAACTATAGCCGTTGCCCGCGGCGTTAATCTTAAAAGAGAGATATATTGTCGCGGACATTTTTTTAGATAGTTCAAAGAATATCATTTGATGAATAATTTTCACCAAACTTCTCTCTGTTCCTTCGCTTCTATTTATTACAGCTTAAAGTTTTATAGCCTGAAACCTTTCTTGATAAGTACTATCACCAAACAAAAAAGATTTTTTCAGTTCAAACTAGTAGATTCTAAGATTGGCGCCTTTAAACAAACAAACAAACTGTTTCTTGTTATAATAAAATAAAACCACAAATAATTACGACTGTACTGCTTTAGGAATAGAAAGTAGTCTACTGTTACACGTACCTACTTACTTACTTTACTCTGGAAATCTTTTCTCCTCTTAAAAGCTAAGTTTTTCTTTTATTGGACGTATTAACCGTTAAAACTACCTTTCTGACTTAACTTCCTGAAAATTTTTCAGAAGCCATGAAAAATTATAGAACAAGCTTCGTTTTAAAACGGTTGTCTTTTGTACACTTTAATGTTTTTCATATGTTGGCATCATATAAATAAAATTTGTTGGTTGAAATTACATGCGCGGAATATGAAAAAGATCGACGATGACGTGTAGAATACGGTGGCTCTATTGGGTTGAGCAACAGTACGGAACGGCGTGGACACCGGTTCAAGCCCTGCCCTTGTCGTAATTTTTTTTTATTGTGAGAATCTGTTGTCTTTCTACAACACTTTGTTAATTATTATATATACTGTCTATAGTTTACGCGAGTAGTACACATTTAAATAAAACAACGGTTTTAAACCGTTAAAGGAGACAATACATATATATGTATTGTCATCCTTTAAGGTTGTCTAAATTAAAACGGCCAAATTGTATGATTTTTTTTACATTTATGAAGCGAATGGCTTATTTATTTGTAAAAATGTGTTTACATACAAAGATTGCCTAGAAGAACACGCCAGGCCGCCTTTGCACAAACATTTTTATTTGTATATATTATTTTAGATGTCTATGCCCTACTTTGGTGTATATATGTTTGTGCGATAAAGAGTTTTATTATTATTATCACAATTGAGATCACATAGAATGTCCAAACGTCCATTTCTTATCATCTGAATGCTAAAAATAAATCTCATTCATATATTACGTACACATTGGAAAGGTCATGAACGCAGCTTATATTGTATACAAAGCAGACCCTCTTCAAACAGACAGACAGTGAGATTGTTGATTTATAAGCCTCAACGAAGATTGAATCGTAAATACTTTAATGTGTTTGCAGACGAAAATCTAAGGGAAACTATTTTTATAAATTTTTACAAGACATATTCGACTTTTTTTTTTTGGGGAACAAACCCGAGATCCGTTGATTATTAGTCTTATATCTAGCAATGTATCATTGTATCATTAGACCATCAAATTTATTATATCGAATCGATTCGACTGCCTTTTATTAAATAAGATCGCTCTTCAAAGGCAGCGTGCCCGCCGCACGTTTTGCGTCAAATGACAGTTTTTAAAAGATACTTTTTAAAGTAACTTACAAATATTTAATGGTTAAAGTCTAGTATTCAGTAGCCAGTATCTATGTATACTTATTAAGGTAACGCCGAGAGGTGAGAGGCACTAAGAGAATGTATTTTTGTTGAATATGGATGGTGTTATGCAACATAGCGTAACTAATAATTTTAAGGTATTAAAAAAATTGGTTAGTGCTTTTTTTGCACATATGTTTAGTACCATTACGGCTAACTAGAAACCGATGAATAGAGTCGAACCCACAGCCCGAAATAATTATTCATACATTGTTACCATTGAATCTATTTTAAATCACGATACTTTTATTAATTAAAAAGTATGAATATTTTATTAATTACACTGCGCGAGAGGTGCATGTATCAATAAGTTGAAAAAATTCGACGATGAGGTGTAGGACTCGGTAGCTCAATTGGTAGAGCAACAGCATGGAACGCTGACGATGCCGGTTCAAGTCCTGCCCGAGTCGAACATTTTTTCAATTTATTTTCGATTTTTAAATTAAAAAGTATGAAATATAACGTCAGCATCCGATCGTAGTTAATTTAAAATTAGTTAACTAATAACTTTTGATAAAGATGCTTTACTCGCGAAAATTATAGACAATACATAATCTTGGTTTTTGCTGAGTAATTTGTAAAACTACGCTACTACTACTATAACTAAAAACTACTGTAAAACTGCGCTACTAATATAAAGTAATTTAATCCGAAACATTCTTCTAATCTATTTGTAATCTTTCCAAAACAATAAATTGTGTAAGGCTTTCACGGCCATCGTTCAGCATATCATTGTCTTTCGGGCTGTTCGGCCGATGTGAGCGAGAGGAGGTTCTCGACGTTTAGCCATCACGTGTGGACGGCATCATCAGGAGATGCTTGATCGATGAGATGAATCGAGAAGGAGAACAGCCCGAAAGACAATGATATGCATTCCAAAACAATTTGGATTTCGTCTGGAAATTTGTATATTAAATGAACGAACCACAGTCGCCAGATAAAAAGGCCGTGACCGTTAATCACCTGTCGGTTTACCGAAAATCCTAAACTTGTATAGGTCGACAACGCAACTTCTTTAGATATTATATGTCTGGGACATTTTACCTACTATCAAGTGATACTTCTTCCTTTTCTTAAAAAAACTGTATTTAGCTTGTTATGTATAATTTATTACTTTTTGCATTAGCTCCCATCGCATTACGCCATCCATTCAACCGGAAATATCATTACCGGGCAGCACTAACGGAAAGAGGCTTTGCCGCTGCGCCCTGGCAGCACTGGATCCCTGTAATTATTCATTTACCTCTGGACTTCATGACTACTGAGATTCAATACGATAATACAAATCCTAATGATTAATTATGCATACAGAAAATCGCTTATAAACATATATATAAAAATCGGTTTTTATGTTTCCACACATCGGCAATGTATTTCAAATACTCTCAAATATTTTTATTATTCATAGATTAAAAATAAATAATGTAAATTAGTTAATCGTCGTTTAATTCGTTTTCTTGATTTTATGATAAAAAAATATTTACTCCTTTTTGTGTCATTTATCATACATATTTTTTCTTTGACAAGTCTTAAGTATTTTTAGGTTATGTGTATATTATTTAGCAGGAGGAATACCTAATAAACCATCTTTTAAATCTTTTACACGAAAAATAATTTCAATTTATATTTTATAACGTCAAATTCAATTATTAATTATTTTTTATGTATTAGCATGGTCTTAACGGTCTGCTTATAAACCTTGTTCGAATTTTGTATATACCAACCCCTTTGACACCATCAGTAGTTTTCCTGAAATTTTTTTTATATATCAATCTTAAAGATTCGCAGCTTTATTTTATTAAATTAATAAGTGCAGAATGCGTATCAAAGCGTGTTTACCGTTGCATGGTTTCCGCCAGGTACAAACTGATAGTTTCCGGCGACCGGATATTGTGTACAACGGAGCTTTAACTCACTTCCGGGTAGACGATGACGTCATTAAACTATATGGCTGTAAGGTAAGGCTTATTGTGGATCGTTATTTGCTTTAGATGCTAAAATCTACCTTATCACGCTTTAATTCAAACTCGTTAGTATGATTTTTCTAAATAACGATTTAATCAATTGTGTAAGGCTTTTACGGCTACCGTTCAGCATATCATTGTTTTTCGGGCTGTTCGGCGAGAAGAGTTTCTCGATGTTTCGCCATCACGACAGACGGCATCATCAGGAGATGTTATTATCTCCTCGATTGCTCGAAGAATTCTGGGTTAGCGCCACGGCTGACGATTAATATGTATTTTTTTTATAGAGGAGGCAGAGAAACATGGGCTCATTCCCCATCCTCCAGCCATATAACATATGGGCTACGACGTCTTTGGCTTTGAAAGCATATTGTGCTCGACAAAGATATGAATTATAAATATTGCCGTGTAATATAAATAAATGTAGATTGAAAAAAAATTACGACACGGGCTTGTCTTAACCCACAACGGCACCGAACGTTGCTCTAATCAACAAAGCTATAGTATAGAGGTAATTCAATTTATTACTTTATAGTTTTTATTTTTTCTAATTACGTTTTTAACGAACACGCGAACCATATAGGCTCGACGCGACGTATCCTAGTTAAAAGAAATAAGTTTAACTAATAAAATTCGCGGTTTGTAACCGTTAATATTGTTTTATTTAAATGTGTACTACTCGTTCAATCTACAGACAGTATTTTTGAGTATGTACGTTGTAAGATTGTTAAAGTTTGTTTGGTTGGCTTGGTGTCCCATTCACAGATAGAAAAGTGTTATTTACGTAACAGTTTCACATTTCCGAATTTTAAAGCTCATAATGCGACAATGCATCTTAATTCTTTAGCTTTTATCTCTTTTAGAAGAAGTCAAAATACATTTTTATTTGCAAGTAATGTTTTAATAATGCTTTCTCGTCGACAGTGAAAATGAGCTAACTTTATGTGGAGATGGAAATTTTAAAAATAGTTGAGATATTTCAACTGAATTGAAAAGAGATGTTGAATTTAAAAATCGAAAATAAATTAAAAGTATTTTCGATTTTTAAATTATATAGTGTCTTCATGTGCAATAACGTGTAAAAAATAATAAAGTTTTCAAAGAGATGTTGACTAAATACTGTCTATAGATAGTTTACGCGAGTAGTACACATTTAAATAAAATACTTTAACGGTTTAAAATGCGATATATCTCTTTTGAAACCGCTAAAGTGTTTTATTTAAATCTTGACTAGAGGATATTATTTATCGGCTTTACTAAAAATAGTCTACATATAGAACATATTTTATTTAACTTTTACCACTGTTATTAATTATTATTTAAATTGGTCAAAGGTTCGATTCCTACCGGTTCATAGGTTCTAAAAACAAAAAAAATATAGTACACTTTTTTTTAATTTATATTTAAAAAAAAGGAAGCCGGGGTCAGCCAACATCTGTTAACCATTTCACCCACTCCCCCTTTTTAGAAAACTTTTAGGTTATCCAACTCAAATTGTTATATTAAGGATGACGTTAGATGAAGGACACGAACCATGTCCACAGATGGAAATACCGTGAAGTTGAATTGCGTTTCGATATCAGTCTGATTTCAGAATATCCGAAGCAAAAATAAGGGCATAAGGCATTTTGTTTTAATGTATTATGGCTTGTGTATGTCATCTTCTGTCAAGTGAACATTATTCTTGTCTGTCCTTCTCTATACTATACTGTATATCTGTAGTTAACACAGTTTGGCGATACTGGCCGGGTTCTTTTTAGTCAATTAGTAAATGTTGCAAGGACACAGCCAGTTTCTCCAAATACCAACTTCGACGGAACAGATGGCGCTAGCGTAGCAGTTTTTTTACTTTTACGTAAGAGACACCATCCATCCTATCGTGACCACGGCTGCTGCAAAGCATCCGAAACTTTTAAAATGAATTTAATTTAACTTTTCAAATAAGTTGAACTAATATATATCACGTTTTAAACTGTGAAAGTGTTTATTTAAATGTCATAAAAAAGCCTGTTCCACGCCTATCTTCTACTATCAAGCCCATATCATGAAAGTCTCATTAGCCGGTCCCCAATATTACACTGAACGCTTACTTCACTGTTACAACCTTTTTTCACATTAACCAAATTTCTTTTGTCTAACCCTTGGAAATTTAAGAGATCTTTACTTAATAGCGGAAAAGATAACGATCCTATACTTATATTTACTTTTGTACTATTCATAGCCAAAATAGGCCGACAACGTATCGTTTAGACGTTTTATGACTGGGGTATTCCTCTATTAAGTAAGCCCTATGTTTGACCGCTTCTATTGTAAAACAAAGACTTAGAGGTTATGAGAAATTGATATATGTACATACATTTTGTTATTGTATAGTCAATATATATTTTGTGTTATGATAAAAAAATATTTTCAACGAATCGCATTCTTTATCAAGAAATTACTTGATCTGATTTCTGTAACCGGTTATAACTATAATGCTTCCGTGATAATCGAACTCAAGAACTCTTAAGCTTAACACAATGACCCTTTTCGAACCCTTTTTTTTGGATTTTAGAATTCCAAATTCTAAAATCTAAAAAAAGCCTCAATCACAATATGTTTACACTAAATCGTTATGAATTTTTAATAATTTTACTTTAAGTTCGTTGGCAAAAATTTAGGAGGAAAAGTATTCAAAATGGCATTGAAAATAAGAATCGTCCCCGATTAGTGTGACATCGCGGCTACACGGTAATCCGGGATTTAAAAGTCGACATACGGGCTTATTTGAATTTCATGAATGTTATACACGTATAACTCAGTAGACGTTAGATGGAATTTTAAACGGTTTTTTTTTCATGCATGATGATAGATGCAATACTCCAGCCACATAATCTCTAAACAGGATGCACTACCGGCCTATTGTGGCTCTAAAATGGGGTGTGCTTGCTTTAAAAACTACAATTTATTGATTTAAAACGCGATGTACTTATTTGAAAATGATTTTTAACATCGGCAGCCGTGGTCGCGGGGAGACTAAAGATGGAGGATGTCTCTGACGTCAAAGTAAAAAATTGCTACGCTAGTACCATCTGTTCCGACGAAGTTGGTATTTGGCGAAACTGGCCGGGTCCTTACAGAATTGACTAACGGTGTCTTCGCGTTTGCCGGTATGCTGTTTATTGGGATCCAGAGTTATTAATATGGGATCCCAGGTGTATGATAGTTTTAGGCCGTCGTCCCTATTGAAATTTCGGTGTTTTTTGATTTCAATTGCTTCGCGTACCAATCTTGGAAAAAGTCGACTCTGCTTTGCGAGGATTTTTGGCTGGTCAAAGCGAATGTACCGCGGATTTGGAGAGACGTTTATGTTTTATATCCGCGACGTGTTCTTTGATTCTGATCACACATATAAATAAAACACTTTAAACTATAGACAGTTTAATTTTTTTGCTAAAAACATTAATTATAGTAAATACTGTCTGTAGTTTACGCGATTAGTACACATTTAAATAAAACACTTTAACGATTTAAAACGCGATATATTTTAGTTACTTGTTTGAAAATTATTTTAACTACGGCCCGATATTTCGAATATTATTTTCAAACAAGTTTGACTAATATACATCGGGTTTTAAACCGTTAAAATGCTTTATTTAAATTAAATATAGTACATAATAATAGGATATAAGTATAGACCAACATATAGCGAGATGAAGAAGGATTTTCAGGTAATAAAAAAAATACCATTTAATACGGATTAGTGTCAAACATTTGTTTGAGACCTAATTTTTAGTTCATGAATAAATTAATATTAATCTGTGGTTAATTACGCCTTAGTGATCTTCAGTTTCTTTTGTGGATTCAATAACTTAGCAAAAAGACAGTGACAAATTCAGCTTTTATATTTAAACGGTTTTATTTAGCTCGACCCGTACGGAATTTATTTATTCGAGTCAAAATTAGAAATTGAAATTTAAACACCTTCCCGTTGGCATGATCTGAAATTTGGTACACACATTTAATTTAGATGACAATACAATATAATGAAATCAATAACAATATAAATCTAAGATGGCCGCCGATACTACATGGCGGATTACATATTTTTCCTTAACCCCCTCAATATGGGTATCAAATGTAACTACACTCGTAAAACGCGATGATTATGTCAAAATTTTTAATTTTTTGTAGTTTTCATTGCACAGAAAAATAAAACCGTTTAACTTAAAAGTTATTTTACCGGTTTTTATTCAAAAGCTATTCTAAACAAAAGCACTAATACCGACGTCGTAATGTTTAGTAAACTGTATAATGAAAATCAGGTGATTAAGCTTTTTCAGCGGAACAAGTCAATTAAACTGGTTACATTCAGTTCACTGGAGACGATGACCTGTGAAGCAAGGCACGGGCGGTAGCGATGAATCTTTACTAATGTTATGAAGCTGAAGAGTTTGTTTGTTTCAATGCGCTATTCTCAAGAACTACTGGTTTGTATTGAAAATTATTTTAGTGTTAATTAGACCATTCATTGGGGACGCTCGAGGCTATAAAAGATGAAGCATCAATCAATAGAAATGAAGAAACAGAGGAAAAATAAAGTAAAATAATAATTATAAGTAATTATTATTCAAACTGTTGTTATGAGTACTTTTCCGACTTAGCGAGAAGGACGTAACACTAGTCCGGCGCGGTTAACGAGCGCGCCCCCGCACTAGCGAGGCAACTGTCAAATAGGGACGATGGCGCGTATTTTTGGCGGTTAAGCAGAATTCTGTCTAATAATATGAATATTGTTGAATGAAAATTGTCTTTCCGTGTTAAAACTGTTTTATTTCAAATGAGTACATTAAAAAAACTTATTTCCTTTTACATTTCTAGACAGCTAGATACTATTTAGGAGTTTTTTTATGACATAAGAAGACCGGCAAAGACGGGGTATACTTGATACAAGTTGAAATATCACAGCTACATTACATTTACACAAAATCCGTTGTTGACCTATTTTGGCTTTGGATATTCGGAAATCCACAGACTTAAACCGAAACGATTGTGAATTTCGATACCCACCAATCATTTTATAACAAAATATGTTTTGTGTGAGCGGGAATCAAACGACCACGTAGTGTACTAGTCATAGTCATTTAAAGTGGGAGTTGTACTGTCTTTTTAGGCCACTTAATACTCGCAAACAGAACAAAGCAATTTCCACGAATCCTTGCATCGCAATTGTAATTCAATTAAGCCTAAAATCGCTCGGATGCCGCCCAACGCTCTCGTCTAATACCGCGCCCCGCCGTTAGTGATTGGATATGAAAATTTAATGCCATGTAGTGGAGCAATCACTTAGCGATCCAGCTCAAACAGAACTGAACCGTTTTTAATTAAACTGCGAATTGATAGCTCTGTTTGCGTGCTT